CGTCAGATGCCCAGAAGTCAAAAATACGATATTTTGTTCGCAAATGCGAAGTGTCCCCCATCACAAATGTGCGCAAATACGAAGCTAACAATTGTTACTAGTGGTCGCAAATGCAATCAAGATGTTCGCAAAAGCAGTTGCCCATACTTTGCAAAAGCGAATATTTTCCTCGCAAATGCGAGGTCGTCCAGCCTAGGCTATGCTCGCAAATGCGACCTCTTGATCGCAAAAGTGAGGCTCGCAAATGTGAGCTAGACCTTGAAAATGCGAGATCTGCAGTAATGCACCAGCAGTTGCAAACTATGCCAAACTCATCTGATACTTACCCAAAACGCACCCGAGACCCTCGGGCTCCAAATCGAACATGCACACACATGTAATAACATCATACAAACTTGCTCGCTACCTAAAATGATCAAAATAACATCAAATAACAAGAATCAGTTCTCAAAACTCTAGATTTGCAACTTAAAAATCATTTTCACAATTTTTCACATAACGCGCCGCAATGTGCTCGGGTCACCCCGAACCCCATCCAAACGTGCGTACAAGTCCAAAAATATCATACGAACCTATCAGAGTCGTCAAAACACCGATTCGGGATCGTTTACCAAGAATGTTGACCATGGTCAGCTCAAGTCCCATTTTAAGCCTAAAATCACTTTTTCTTCAAAATTTGACACAAAAACTTTCTAAAAAATGACATGGACCATGTACACAAATCAACAAACATAAAATGGAGCTAATAGAGGTCTCATAATATGGAAATAAAGGCTAGTACTCAAATAATCACATTGATAATCTGAAAAACCTATCATCTCAAGTGTTAGCCGCTATTGTTTTCTCCAGGTGCACTCAAGAACAAAGCTGTTACAAACCAAGGACTAGATCCCAACACTGAAGATGTCTTGAGTCCTTAATTTTGTTGAGTCTATGTCTTTTGTTCTTTACTTGTAAACCTACATAGCTTTCTAGAAGTATTTTGTAGGACATTATTCAAACATTGTTGTTTTGGTTGTTTGACTAGAGTTAGGCAATGAGCGTTGCTATGTAATAGTGTTATTGCAAAGGGCTTACAATAGAGTTGTTGTAAAGGGTGAGGGATTAAGAGTTTAATTTCTAGATTGCAATAGATTGTAATATAAATTTTGCTCAGTTTAGTGGAGTTGAAGTCCAACTGGGGTAGGTCATAATTTTTAATCCCTTGAGCAGGGATTTTTTTACGTAAATATCGTGTGTTCTTTACTTACTGCTTGTTTATTGTGGGAACTGGTAGAGAACCTGGTTCTCTATACTATTTGGTGGCCTTTTAGTTTTTATCAATTGGTATCAGAGCAAGTTCTTTTTAAAAGGTTAACACCTAGAAAAGATTTTCACTATGGTTGCTCTACCAAACCTTGAGGAAGGACAATACCCCTAAGATTCAACGGCAAGTACTATGGATGGTGGAAATAAAGAATGCATGACTTCATCATGGTTGAGGACTCACAGCTGCGGGACGTAATTTGTGATGGACATTTTGTTCCTATGAAAGTTGTTGGAGTGGGAACAAGGATAGTCCCAAAGACTAGAAAAGAATATAACGATGCTGATAGAAAGGCTATTGAAAAGAAATTCAAGGCAAAGAAGATTCGTGTATGTGGGATTGGACCATACGAATATAATCGCGTCTCAACATGTAAGTCTGCTAAGGAGATCTGGGAAGCTCTCAAAATTGTCCATGAGGGAACTACTCAGGTAAAGCGGTCCAAGATTAATATGCTTATCACTGAGTATGATCTTTTAAAAATGAAAGAGGATGAGTTCATTCAAGATATGCATACACGTTTCACCTCCATTATCAATGAGCTTCATTCTCTTGGAGAAATCATCCCAACAAATAAGCTGGTCCGGAAGATATTTAGCATTCTACCAGGTTCCTGGGAAAGTAAGGTGAATGTCATCAATGAAGCCAAGGACCTGTAGAAGCTGACCATTGATGAGCTAATTAGAAATCTCAAAACCTATGAGATGAAGAGAAAGAAGGATCTTGAAAGAAAAGATCCCAAGAAGGAGAAGATCCTGGTTCTCAAGGTTGCCAATAACAACTCTAGTAGTGATGAATCTGACATGGCGTATCTGACTCGAAGATTCCAAAAGATGGTTTGAAGAAATGGTGGAATTTCCAAGAGAGGAATTTCAAGTAGGAACTCCAAAGGAAATAATTGATGCCATAAGTGTGGAAAGCATGGACACTTCATTAAAGACGATCATCTTCACAAGCAGGATCACTATAAAAATAGCACTGATAAGACAGCTAAGAGGAACCCAGTCCCTAATAGGAGGTTCAAAAGAAAAGATGTTGCTGACAACGTGGTGAAGCATGCATTGGCTGCCTGGGGAGATTTCTCCCGTGAATCTGAAGGTGAAGATGACCAAGGAGATACATCCATGACAGCTGTTGAAAATGAATCCTCAAATATATGATTCTATCTTTGCACTCATGGAAAAATCCGATGATGATGAGGACAGGTATGAGGATGAGGTAAATTTTCTTGTTGTTCTAATAAACCTAAAATCTTACTCTCAAAAGAAATTGATGTCATTAGCAAATGTGTTAATCGATGCCAATCGTAGCCTTTTGATGTGAAAAATGTGTTAACTGAAGAAATTGGTGATGTAGAACAAGAGAGGGATGATATGGTAGTTACAATTTTTGATTTTAAAGAACATGTGGAAGAAGTTACTAGAGAAAATATCTTGTTGAAAAATCAAATGGAAAAAGGGATGAACATCCCTAAGAAAAAAGAAGTGGCTAGGGAGGCTCAACTTGAGCTTGAGAGCGAGCTTAAGAAAATTAAAACAAGTATTAATGCTGATCTTGAAAAGAATAGACAACTTCAGGGGGATCTAAAAAGGGTTAAAAATGATCTTGATAAGTCACTTAACTGGACCTGGTCTTCTGATGTAATAACGTGTATGTAGAAGAGTAATGGTGGAAACAGGCAAGTAATCGGTTCCAAAAGGCCAAAACTTCTTATAATCCCCATAGTAAGTATGTAACTATGGATGATAATTAGTTGTGCCTCATTATGGTCAAACTAGCCATTACAAGGATTCTTATAAAGTTATAATTCAGTCTCTATAGAAAAACAATTTTTTGTTGAAAAGAAGCCTACTATTGAGAAACCTGGTTCTCTAAGAAGAAAATATGTGTTGCTTGCATGGACAAAAAGAATTTTTATTCACCCGTTCTATCATTATTATGGACCCAAGCTGGCTTGGGTTCCTAAGTCTAATCAGTGATATTCTAAACAGGCTGGAGTGAGAGAAAGAATTCAAAAATGGTACATAGATAGTGGTTGATCGAAGCATATGACTGAAAAAATGGATGATTTCCTCTTACTCAAGGCTTTCCAATGTGGGAGTGTGTCCTTTGAAAATGGCAAGAAGGGCTATATTCTTGGTGTTGGGAAAATCGGCAAAACAATCTCCCATGCAATTGAAAATGTATACTATGTGAATGGCTTGAAATATAGCCTGTTGAGTGTGTCTTAAATCTGTGGCAAGGGAAATAAAGCAAAGTTCTTGTCCAAATCTTGCACTGTCACCAATCTCAAAACTATTGAAGTAGTGTTGATAGCCAAAAGGTTCAAAAACATCTATGTTGTAGACTTTGACTCACTGAATGGTGGTGATTTAACATGCCTGAGTGCCATTGATGATGATGTTGAGTTATGGCACAGATGACTGGGCATGCAAGCTTGACTTTGATGAATAAGTTGATCAAGAAGGACCTGGTTCATGGGCTGCCTAAGTCAAATTTCAAGGATCACAAGGTGTGTGATGCCTGTGCAAAAGGAAAACAGATCAGGTTCTCGTTTAAACCAAATAAAGAAATGAGCAACTCAACGCCACTTCATCTTCTTCATATGGATCTTTTTGGACCTATGAGGATTCCAAGTAGAGGAGGAAAGAAGTACATCTTTGTGATTGTGGACAACTATTCGAGATTCACATGGACATTGTTTCTGAGGACCAAGGATGAAACATTTCCAGTATTTGTTGCATTTGTGAAGCAAATTCAAGTGAAGCTGGGAAATCATGTTGTGAGTATCGGATCCGATCATGGAACTGAATTTGACAATGCCAAGTTCGATGAGTTTTGTGTTAAAAATAGTATAAGTCACAACTTTTCAGCTCCTAGAACACCTCAGCAAAATGGTGTTGTGGAAAGAAAGAACATGACCCTTGAAGATATGGCCAGTACAATGTTGATCGATAGCGGTGTGTCCAAAACTTTTTGGGCTGAAGCAATCAACACTACATGTTACTTGATTAACAGGTGCATGATCAGGTCCCTTCTTGAGAAGACTCCCTATGAATTGCTCAATGGTAGAAAACCCAAGCTAACTTACCTAAGAACGTTTGGATGCAAATATTTTATCCTCAACAATGGTAAGGAGGCTTTGGCAAAATTTGATGCAAAAAGTGATGAGGGAATTTTTCTTGGTTACTCCTCTCAAAGTAAGGCATACAAAGTCTACAACAAAAGAACCCAATGTGTAGAAGAAAGTGTGCATGTGATCTTTGATGAATCCCATGAATCAAGTGAGAAAGGGTCACATAACAAGGAAGATGAATATGGAGAATTTTCAAAAGTTCCTGGAGAATCCGTAGATATTGCAAATGAAAAGAATAATTTGATGAGTCAAGTCAAGCAAAGCGATGAAGAAGATCCAACAGAACCTCTAGATGACATAGAGGAACTTGGTCCCTCTATTACCTCGACTGAAGCTGAGCATAGGATTGTTGATGTTGTATCTGGTACTCCTGATGTAGGACAAAGGAGTGGAAGTCATACTTCTATTGATGTCATTGATGGTTCAAATATGGAGGGACATGGTCCCTCTAATCCTAAACTTCAAGTATCCAACTAGAAGCACAAGAGTTCACATCCCCTTCAACATGTGATCATACCTTTAGATTCTGGTATTCAAACTAGATCTAAGGCAAGAAACATGGTTGCCTTCTTAGCCTTCCTATCTCAAATCGAACGTAAGACCATAAAGAAAAAATTGAATGATGATGACTGGATAAATGCTATGCAAGAAGAACTTCATCAGTTTGAGAGAAACAAAGTGTGGCACCTGGTTCCTCGACCTTTAAACAGAACAGTGATTGGAACCAGGTGGATGTTCAAGAATAAGCTTGATGAATTTAAAAACACAACAAGAAATAAAGCAAGGTTGGTGGTCCAGGGATATAATCAAGAAGAAAGGATTGACTATGATAAGACATTTGCTCCAGTTGCTCGGGTGGAAGCTATGAGGATTCTTATAGCTTTTGCATCTCATGTGGAATTCAAATTGTTCTAAATGGATGTTAAAAGTTCCTTTCTAAATGGATATTTGAAGGAGGAAGTATTTGTCGAGAAACCTCCAGTCTTTGAAAGTCATGAGCATCCTAAGCATGTCTTCAATTTGACAAGGCTCTATATGGTTTGAAGCAAGCCCATCGAGCATGGTATGAGAGGTTGTCAAAATTCCTTCTTGAAAATGGCTTTACTAGAGGGAAAAATGACAATACTCTATTTCTGAAGAAAGAGAGAGAAATCCATTGTACAAGTCTATGTTGATGATATCATTTTTGGTGCAACAAATGATTCCTTTGTGAGGAGTTTGCAAAGCTCATGGGATGTGAATTCGAGATGAGTATGACGGGCGAGCTAAATTTCTTTCTTGGGCTGCAAGTGAAGCAAACCTCAAAAGGGACCATGATCAGTCAACAAAAGTACATTAAGGAGCTACTGAAAAATTTGAGATGGAAAATTCTAAGACCATTGATACTCCCATTGCCACTGCTACTCGATTAGACATAGACGAACCTTGTTCTCCTGTTAATGAAACTATGTATAGGGGTATCATTGGATCTATTCTGTACCTGACTGCTAGCATACTTGATATAGTCTTCAGTGTTGGGTTGTGTGCTAGGTTTCAATCAAGCCCAAGAGAATCACATTTGAAGGCTGCTAAAAGATTTCTGAGTTATCTCAAGGGAATGCAGGACCTGGTCCTCTTCTATCCCTCGGGGGATAATTTGATTTAATTGAATATGTTGACGCTGATTATGCTGCATATTTGGTAGAGAGGAAAAGTACATCTATAATGGAACATTTTTTGGGGTCATGCTTGATCTCATGGGGTACAAAGAAACAAAACTATGTGACTCTTTATAATGTTGAAGTTGAGTATGTGGTTGTCGCCTCTTGTTATGCACAACTGCTTTGGATCAAGCAACAACTTGAGAATTTTGGTGTGTTTACGGATTGTGTACCCTTATTATGTGATAACACAAGTGCTCTCAACAAAGCAAAGAATCCGGTGTAGCACAAGAGGAAAAAGCACATTGATATTAGACATCACTTCTTGAGGGACAATGTTGAAAAGGGTCTAATCTGTATGAAGTTCTGCAAGACGAAGGACCAGGTACCAGATATCTTCACCAAGGCACTGAGCAGATAACATTTTGAAAGAAACCGTCTGGAGTTGGTGTTGATCAAGCTCAACTAAGGACCTAGTCCTTCAATGATTGGCTATGTGAAGAAAGAAAGGTACAATGCTAAAAAGTATATTTTTTTTACAACAACTAACTCAAATCTATACTCTATACACGCATGGCAGACTCAAGACAAAACAAGTGAAGAATAACATTGCACACCTAGAAGCTTTTTCTGACATATTCAAAAAAAAAAGTCAAGGAACCTAATTCCTGTGACTCGGGTCAGTAGTTCTTTCAACACTTATATGTTTTTTAAACTGCTGAAGTGTCATGTCATTAATTTAGTCCCGCTTGTTCCAATTTCTCTTACGCCCAAACATTACATCCTCTCTAAACCGACTCGTTGCCCTATTTCTCTCTCACACTCGTTTGTAACTGGTCCATTTCCTACTTTATAAATCTAATACGTGTCTCTTTCTTCCCTCAAAAGTTAGAAAACTGTCACTCTCTCTCTGTTTGAACTCTTCTCTCCACGTATCTTCCAAGCCAACTACAACTATGTCCCAACAAGAATCTCAATCTCCTAAAATGTATGAAGACAACACAACATTGTCCCCTTCTAAAGTAACATCTCCATCTGAATCTAAGACAAATGATTCACCCCCAAAAGCCCCAATTCCCACTAAAACCAACCCTACTTTCACTCCTTCCAAATCATCAGGTTCCGGTCCCCCAAAGAAGCCGGAAAAGCCAAACTCCCAAAAATTTTGTCTCATTCCTTTCTCCTTTTATTCCTACTGAAAAGCCTGACTCCGAGCAAACAGTGTATGTGTCTCGATTTGTTCAAAACACAGAGGAAATCGGAGAAAATGATGATGGTGTTGAGGTGACTAGTCAGAATGTCGCGACAGAAGAAGTTAGGTTGGAGGAACAAGTGAGTTCTAGTGCTATTGTGGAACCGCATGCACCTGAAGAAGATGTAAATCATGTTGCTGAAGGAGATGCTCAAATACTCCTACTAAAACATGTAATTTACACTCTCTTTCTACTGATAAAGGGATAGAGTCTGAGGAGTTTGTGGGAAATCTAAGTGAAAAAGATAAGGGGAGGTCGAATATTCTTGAAAGTGAGGCTGAGATTGTGGAGGGTTTTGTTGAGGCCTTAAGGGCGAGTGGTAGGGGTGAAGGGACTCAGGGGGAACTGCAGAGTCAAAGGGAACTAGTGAACCAGGGGGAACAGGTGATTGTGAGTGAAATAGGGGAACCAACTAAGGGACCTCATCCCNCCCCCCCCCCCCCCCCACTTAGGGAGAGTCTGATTCGTCTGGACTCAGAACTTCTCCCACTTGGGATGAGACACCAGGTTCCATTAGGCCTAACCTGGACAGTTCTGAAACACCCCTTTTCACATCCCACATTCTTGTTCATTTAGAAATTGTGTATCTTGAGATGAGACCTGGTTCTGCCAGTCATTCTCATGAAAGTGTTGATGTTGATTCTGATGACCAATCTATAATAAGCTTTATAGATGCAAGGGGTGGTGCCAAGAAAAAGAATAATATTGCTCACAAACCCCCCACTACAAGGCAACCGAGAAAAGCTGAACTTGATAGTGCTTTGAAGGCAAGTAAGGAGAAGAAGATTAGAATAAGGCTGGTGAAGAGCTGGTTAGTGGATGAGGAGGAGGTTCCACCTGCAGATGTGGTGGATGTTGATGAGGAGGAGGTTATGAAGGAATCACCTCTTCTTGTAAGAAATAATTCAAAGAAAAGTGTTGTTAGTAAGGGAAAGGGACAAGTGTCTGAGAAAGCAATTCCGAGAAAAGATGATGAAGAAGTGGAGAAAGAAAAAGAGGAGAAAAGAACTCTCAAGAAGATGAAGAGTACTAGCGAGGAACCTGGTTCCTCCAAGAAGGCAAAGGTAGAGTTGTGAGAGCTAGAAAGAAAGGTCAATCTCAAAACTCAAAAGGTACTGCTGGGTAGAGTCTTTGACCCTGATATTGGTGAACATGCAAGTATGAAAGAGCTAGTGGACATTGTGGAGTTCCAAAAGTGGAGCCATCTCTTTGCACCCTCAAGTCCAAAAGCATATGAGGATGAGGTGAGAAGTTTTTATGTTGGTCTGTTTGTTGTGGATGAGAACATATTGTGCTTGAACGTCAATGGGAAGGACTTTGTGCTGGATGAGAACACTCTTGGGGAAATTCTTGAAGTGCCCACAGATGGGCTGAAAATAGTGGAGGAAACTACTTCATCTGCTTTCAAAAAACCTGATTGTGAAAAGGGAGGTTACTCTATCAGGGGAGAGGGTGTATAAGAAAGCATTTAAGCCAGAGTATCAGCTATTGTTCGAGATGGTGAAAAAAGTGTCGTTACCTCGGGCTGAGAGGAGATCTATAGCCTCCATTGCAGACCTAGTTCTCATCGAGGCGCTGGCTTATTTCACTTCTATCAGTATTTCTGGAATCATGATTGAACATATGATGAAGGTGGAAATCTTTAAGGATTGGAAGCATGGTCCTCCATATGGGTTCCTTCTCACAAAAGTCTCTGAACATTTTGATGTCCCATTGAGAAAAGTTATTATGGGGACTAGGAAGAAAATGTTCACCATGAGTACACTAGAAGAATGTGAATGTGTGCTGAAAGGATGCGTGAGCATCAATTCAACCGACTTTCAACTATTTGAAGCATAGGAGTAAGCAACTGCAAAGATCAAGTGGCTTCAGGCTGAAAATGTTGTCTTAAGGTCCAAGCTCACTCAGCAGAGCACGGAACCTGGTTCCAGTAGTTCCATGGCAGAAGAGAATTCTCAGTTGAAGACTGGGAATGTAAGGTTGAGGAAACAGGCTAAGGACCTAAAGGAACAGATGATCACTGATCAACGTACTGCAAATGAAAGAGTGGACAAACTCCTCAAAGCCTTTGCTCCTTAATCCTTCCTGTTTCCTGCCAAGTGCTTCCTATCTCTATCCCTCTTTTATCCCATCAATATTCCGTCCTTTTTGAAGTTGTTGTTGATGACTTTGGCATGTTGGCTTTTTAAAAACCTGTAATATTTGTGTTGTGGGTACTGCTGTTACTCTGTTTTTAATCTTTATCTTAAATGGGCAATTACTATCTTTTTGTGCAATATTACTCTTTTGTGTTCTGTTTTTGACCATGTTGTATGCACACAAGTGGCATTAGTTAATGTTGTTGGAAATCTTGGTGTATGTGCTTATTTTGTCATTCTTTTCAATAATGTCAAAATGGGGAAGATAATTGAGAGGGGTAACAATAGAATCTGGCATCTGATTCGTAGGGGAAACATGTGGGAATCTGGTTCTCAGGGAGGGAATATCAATTATGGGTTTGTCATCATCAAAAAGGGGAAAATTGAAAAGTTATATTATTATGGGTTTTGATAATTTGTCAAACTCTATTAAGGAACCAGATAGGAACCTGATGCAATCAGTTCCTCTGTGCCTGTTGTGATATGCTTCGATGTCTAGCCGAACGTTCTCTAGAAACCAGATAGGGGAAGAGATAAGGGAATAGATATGATCAATTCCCCATTAGTCGTACAGTCAACTCTATAATTGTAGAAGTTGCCTTACTGTACCGACTTACAACAGTGCAGCGGCTCAGCTGTTGTTACTAGAGCCAAACCAATTGTATCTATCTATTCTCACATGTTCTCTCATTAATATAAAACATGATACAAGATTCGACCTAACACTTGACAATCTGAAAAACCTATCATCTCAAATGCTAGCCGCCAATATTTTCTCTAGGTGCTCTCAAGAACAAAGCTGCTACAAAACAAGGATCAGATCCCAATACTGAAGATGTCTTCAGTCCTTAAGTTTGTTAAGTCTTTGTCTTTTGTTCTTTACT